TCACACTCAAACATTGCCACACACCATCGCCCTCAGGCATTGGCACACACCCTCACACTCAGGCATGGACTTTGAGGCCCGCAGCACATTGGAAGCCGAAGAAGCCCATCAGCACAGCCCTACAGTTTGACCCCAAACTTCTCCTCAAACTGCTTGTCTGTGCATTTAAGAAATTGGTGCAAACACACCGTTCTCCTTGTCGCCTCCAAATTCACGAGCTGCTGATTTGTATCAGTTCCCACCACTGGCTTGTCATGTTCTAGGAGTTTCTCAATCAGCAGTCCACTACCAGAATCATCCCCTTCGCCCTGCTGCTCTTGCCTGTCACCCGTTCTTTCGCTATTCGTTTCTTCCGCTCCCCGTTCCATCCCCTCCACTCCCTCCACTTCGTCAGAAAGTGAGAAATAAGAACACACCTTGCTCCCCTCTCCCCCAGCTCCAATCGAAACACCCCTGCCGTCTTCAACACCCCTCCGTCTAACCGCCTCATGTGCCATAACCACATAGCCTATTTGCAACAATGCCAAATGCCGCGGTCTGATTCGCCGATCCAAGCTGTAGGTAAGAAAGTTCGGAAATGCAAGCACCTCTGCAATGGAAAGCCCCATGTCCCGCTTTAAGTACTCCACCTTGTGCTTCAGGTTCGCTTCCCTACTGCAGTAGATAGACTGCGGGCACTTCACCACCAAATCCACAACTAATCGACGAGCTCTGTGTCTCTTGTCGCCTTCTGCCCCAAACTCATTCTCCTCTTCCAGCAAATCACCTGCCCCCGTCCCACTTTCCTCTTTTCCAATGATCTCCAGTGCCTCCTCCACTTCTCGCACAAGCTCTTTGAAGCTGTTCTTCATGTTAACTTCACTAGAAGTCAGTAGCAAAGGAAATCGTGCCACAACCCGCACAGCATTCTCTCGGCCAATCAAATCACCCAATACTGCCACCTTCCCTTGCAGGTTCTCCACTGATAGTCTCAGAACCGTCAGGTGACTTCTCGCCACTCTTCCCGTTGCCTCTTCCCCAATCAGCTCCACAAAGTACTGGAGCTTAGATATGAGAGCTTCTTCGCTGAAATGGAGGATGTTGGGGGCACGGCGAAGCACAGAGCTCGCAATGCAAGGCGTGATTGGGGGAGTGAAGGACTGGAGGATGGCAATATTCCCTGCAATGCGATAGGTAGGAATAGAGAGAATGGATGGAAACCTCATGATAACCCTGCTTAGGTGGCTCGTGTCCAAAAGCGGCTCATTAAGTCGCTGCTTCAGGGGTTTTGTGCTGATGCTATCTGCTTCTACCTTTCCTCCAGATTTCGCCTGAAGATATGCTGACAGCATCTCAAGCTGAGTATTCACTGCCTCAATACTCCGAGTCAAGATAGCCGGATATCTTTCTAAAACCACACCCAGCTTGTCCACAGGAACCCCTGCCTTCTTCACCAGAATGTCCAGGTTCGTTGAACGTGCCTCTGAGCAGAGTAGATTGCGTCCACGTCGCAGCACAAAGCCCAGTCTGCTGCGGTGGACGCCCTGAGCCAGAAGAAGCTCAAGGGTGTTTTGAATCTGTGCAAGGGGGACTCGGAGCCAGGCTGGACCACTCTCAGTGATGTGAACAATATCGGCTTGAGATACGCCATATGACTGGAGGAGACGGACACGTGGCAGGAATTCATTGGTGGGATTGGAGCGGAGGAGTTGGGGCTTAGAGGTGAGGAGGGAGGCGACAGTGGAAGGGGAGGAGATGCCGAGGTGGGAGGAGAAGAAGCGGTAGAGGGAGAGGAGGGAGGAGGGAGATACGACTCGCCGGCTGAACAATGGAGGAGGGTGTGTGGGAGGAGATGTGGTGAATGGTGCGTCCTCCTCATTTGCTTCTTCTTCTGTTTCCTGCTCCTCCTCCTCCTCCTCCTCTTCCTCCAATTTCACTTTCCCCACCCCCTCTTCGTTCTCACTGCTTCTTGTCCCACTTCCCCACTCCCCCAACTCCTCTCTCACAATTTGAAACCCGAATTTCTCCCTCAGCACTCCAGCAATCACTGCCACTGCCTCCTCCTCCTCCTTACACCCTTTCGTCCCGTTACGCTTCCTCATGCCTCCCTCACTCTTCCCCGCTGCATTCCCCGCTTCTACCCTCTCAACTCTCTCATCCCCACCTCCCTTGACTCCCCCTTTTACTTTCCTGATGCTCCTCTGACCTCCTCCCCCATTCCCCCTCTCCTCGTCCTTCACCGTACGCGCTTTAAGCTCCGCTTGCACTGCTACTAGAGGCTTGATTTTGGTAATCAATCCCGACCCAGAGATAACAGTCTCTTCCTCGGAGGCTTCTGTGTCTACTCGCCTGGAAGACGCAGCAGCGGCTGACCACGCCACGAAGCTTCGGCCGTGGAATGAAACCGTATTTTGAGGCGCCTCAAAGTTTTGGCCTTGGTTTCGGAGCTGAAAAGACGCGTTTCGTGCAGGTTCTTTTGGATTCGATCCGATCCGATCGAGACTTGGCAAGAAAGGAACATAAGATCGCGATGCGATTAGGAGCGTTTGACAAGTCTCAGAAGTAGCAAGTCTGGGAATCGAACCGACAAATGGCCGTGACGTATGAGGTAAGACTAGCCATAGAAATCGGCGGGCTGATCTACGCGATGCGTCGTATAAGTTCATGGATTCGTTGAATCTGCTGAATGCCTGGATCCTCGCTGACTTGGCTGGCTGGTGACGCGAAAGGTGAAGTCGCAATTCGCCTGTACGACTCTGATAATCGAAATCTGTAGACTATCAGAAAACACGAATACCAGTAGATGATTAATGCCTCGAACTGCTATTCTAGCTAGCTTCTGGTCTACTCCGTGACGTGCGAAGTGCTGTGGTTCAAATTGAAGTTTTCGGTTCCTCCTCCAGGCTAGCGACGAGACCTGTGACGATCACATAGGTCTAGGAGTGCGGCTTAATCAGGTGCTTTGCGTTTACAAACCTTAAAATAAGTATACAGAGTGGTTTAGCTAGGTGCTAAATGACGGCCTGCTTTCCTTCCTCATGTGAAGTTGTGAAGCCCTCGGGATTCTCGCGATGGCACTTTCCACACATGGTCGGAGCCTGGGAAATGACCGAACGAAACGAGCTGCTGATGCTGATTTCGCCAGAAACTGTAACTGCGGTTGCTGCCCATATCTACATCGCGACACAAGTGCCAACTCGTTCAACAGAGCCGGATATTTATTCGCGTTGTCGCCAACAAGAGGCGTAGGTGCAATTTTTCGCTGTAGCGAAGTGCGTGACCTTCGCTGGAGGAAATGCATGAAACCGAACCGAACTGATGAACCAACCCCCTTGCCTGGATCGACATGAAGGCAACGACATTTCGTCATGGACGTCTTCGTTGAAGAAAAGAGTTCTATGCACGTCTTCGTTCGTCCGCCTGTTTACTCAGGAGGCGTAGCATCGATATCATCGCATCTTACTCTCAATTGCGTGCATCTCGTGATAGTGCCGTTTTAATTTCGCGTTTTCCTCTTCGAAAACGGCCGTATGCACATCAGAGTTCGTAGGCATTTTTATTTGCAGTCCATATTACGATCGTAGGAGCATCGGAGCGCACGCCGACATCATGTGGCACGAGGCGCGGCGGTCGGAAAAGCGCGTGCACGAGATGACGGACGCAGCGAGGAAGCGCGCCGAGCGGTCTCCTCAAAGGCCTTTAGTGTGCGTGTTTTAAGGCGTTTCGAAAGAGTTTTGAGACGTCTCAAAACTTCTTCCACATCCTCAAAGGCCCTTAGTGTGCGTCAGCCTGTTTCCACTCCATCTTGTGATTTCGTAACAGGTGTTTAAGTCTTAAGAAACTTACACTTCCTCATCCGATTCCTCGTAATCCCCGCTTGTCCCTTTCTCTGTTTTTTCTTTTCTTCTTCTTTCTTTCTTTCTTTCTTTCTTTCTTTCTTTCTTTCTTTCTTTCTTTCTTTCTTTTTTCTTTCTGTTTTTCCTGTTTTCCCATTTGTTTTTTTTTTTTTCCGCTTCCTCTTTCAATGCCTCGCAACGCCTTCAATTTCATTTACCCCACCTCTTCTCTCAGCTGCTAGCCAGGGACTACGTGGCAGCAGGGCTGTGCAGCATCCAGCTCTTTCTCTACTCGCCCGATCTTCGCACCGCAGCAACGCACCTGCAGCATGCACAGGTGGGTGGGCTGCCTTTGAGAATCGTCATACGTATCAGATGCAGCATCCAGCTCTTCCTCTACTCGCCTGATCTTCGCACCGCAGCAACGCACTTGCAGCAGGCACAGGTTGGTGCGAATTGGTAGTTGAGGTTGTTTTCGAGGTGAAACAACCCACCTGCATCAGGCACAGGTGGGATCTAGTTATTGCAGACGGCTAGTTTTCGTTCACAGCTTCAATCTGTGTTGTCTCCGTCAGTTCTTTTGAGACGTCTCATCAGGCACAGGTGGGATCTAGTTATTGCAGACGGCTAGTTTTCGTTCACAGCTTCAATCTGTGTTGTCTCCGTCAGTTCTTTTGAGACGTCTCATCAGGCACAGGTGGGGTCTAGTTATTGCAGACGGCTAGTTTTCGTTCACAGCTTCAATCTGTGTTGTCTCCGTCAGTTCTTTTGAGACGTCTCATCAGGCACAGGTGGGATCTAGTTATTGCAGACGGCTAGTTTTCGTTCACAGCTTCAATCTGTGTTGTCTCCGTCAGTTCTTTTGAGACGTCTCATCAGGCACAGGTGGGATCTAGTTATTGCAGACGGCTAGTTTTCGTTCACAGCTTCAATCTGTGTTGTCTCCGTCAGTTCTCAGCCACTGTCCGTCTGCATGTTTCCTGTCCTATTGGTCCCCTCCTTCCCCACGTGCTGCTCGCTGATAAGGCACAGAGGCACAGACACATCAGACTCTAGGCAGCAGCAGAGATCATTACCGAGGCATACCTTCCTATTGTGCTCCATTCATCAACTCGTGCACGTGTGGCTGTCCCTTTCTCCTTCCCACACTGCGCTTCCTACCTCCCCACTTCCCCCTCCCCCCAGCTGCTCTTTGAGAAGGGAACGGAGGCCAGGCAGAACGCAGCAGCAGACCTGGCAGCATCAATCGGCCCTCTTGCTGCTGCCGGCAAGAGACTCACCGTCTCTGCCGCCTCCTCCTCCTCCTCTTCCTCCACTGCTGCTGCTACAGCTGGCGCTGCTAGTGCAGGTGGTACTGGGGCAGGCGCAGCTGCAGGAGGAGCAGGTATATCTGGAGCAGGTAACAGCTACACCAGCAGCAGCAGTAGCACCAGCACTGTCACCAGCCTGGCACTGAAAAACAAGCAGCGGCTGGCAGAGGTGCAGGTGGAGGTGGTGCGGGTGGTGGGGGCGTGCAGTGGCAGGGACAGCAGCGGCGTGCCTCTCGTGGCGGCTGCCCGTAAGGCCCCGTGGAGCGTGGCGCTGTTTGGTGCTCCCAGTGACGGCCGGACCAGCAAGTGAGTGTTTGTCTGGGATAGTGTGTGAGGAGAGAGGAGAGGGTTGAGAGAGGAGAGAGAGGGCGTTTTATGTCCTCGTCTTTCTCTTTTATGCTGCCAGGAAGGCGCCATGGATTGTGGCGCTGTTCGGTGCTCCCAGCGACAGCAAAACCAACAAATGAGTGGCTGTTTGGGAGAGTGTGTGAATGGGGGTGAGTGGGGAAGCGCATGTCGCTCGCCTGAATCTGCTGTAGGCAGTGGTTGGCAGAACTGCAGCAGGTGGTGGTGCAGGTGACGCAGTTCCCCGTGGAACGAGAATACTACCTGGCGGTGGAGGTTATCCACTTCTCCTGCGCTGCAGATCTGGCACAGCTGTGCGGATTCGACCTGCCAGCTGTGCGGATCTGTCCACCAGTTGATGTGCAACACCCTCCTCCTCACCCATGTTCAGGCGCTGCTGTGTAAAGGTGTCCGACTTTCTCGTCGAGGGGGAATTCAGTTTGGCTTTAAAGGGGATCAGCTTCAACTTGGTGCACCTGTGCCAATGCACACAGGCTGATCGTGTCCCTGCATGCAGTGCGCTCGTCTTCCCACTGTCAGGCGTCGAGTGGAAGTGACAGAGTTCCTGGTGGAGCGCGAATTCGACCTGGCGCTAGATGTCATCAACTTCGTGCACCTGCTCCCATGCACTGGCTGATCATGTACCCTGGAGTTTTCTCGTCTTGCTCCCTATCAACAGGCGGTGTGTCGAAGTGACAGAGTTCCTAGTGGAGCGCGAGTTTGATTTGGCGCTCAAGGTGATAAACTTTCTGCACCTGCCAGCCGTGCAGATCAACTCACTTGACCCTCCACTCCCCTGTGTTGCTTCACTACTCTCCCCCCTTCATCTTGCTTCCCCAACAGGCGCCGAGTCGAAGTGACCGAGTTAATCTGGCGCTTCAAGTCATAAACTTCCTGCACCTGCCAGCTGTGCAGATCTATGCCAGCGTGGCAGCCTTGCTGGCGGAGAAGCAGCAGCACCGCGTGCTGTTTGAGGGGCTCATGGACCGGATCAAGTACATGCTGCCGCCCGCTGACATGGATGAGGTGAGCAGCACAGCCGCTGCCAGCCAGCCGTGATTCACATGTATTATCCCTTGCTCACAACCACACGCACTTCCCTCTCTCTGTCTGAGACCGCGTGTTGTTTGAGGGGCTCATGGACCGGATCAAATACATGCTGCCGCCCGCTGACATGGATGAGGTGAGCTGCGATGCGACGACTCAAAAGTGAGCTGGGAGACGACTTTTGATTCGACTCAAAAGTGAGCTGGGAGACTCATGGGTGTCATGTATTCCTTGCTCTGAGGAGTCTCTCTCTCCATTGCAAGTCCTCGTTCATCGTTTCCTCCTCCATCGTTTCCCGTTCCTCTGGAATCCTGCACACGTGTCCACAGGTGATTGGAGCAGCAGTGATGGTCTACACCCACACTGCTGTCAAGCTCTCTACTCTCTCCCTGACCTTCACCGGGCGGCAAGACATGTCCCGATCTGTGAAGCTGCCAAAGGAGCAGATCGACCGACTCATCCACATGCTGTCAGACGAGCACAAGTGAGTCAGGCGAGCACAAGTGAGTCAGACGAGCACAAGTGAGTCAGACGAGCACAAGTGAGTCAGACGAGCACAAGTGAGTCAGACGAGCACAAGTGAGTCAGACGAGCACAAGTGAGTCAGACGAGCACAAGTGAGTCAGACGAGCACAAGTGAGTCAGACGAGCACAAGTGAGTCAGACGAGCACAAGTGAGTCAGACGAGCACATGTGAGTCAGACGAGCACTAGTGATTCAGACGAGCACAAGTGAGTCAGACGAGCACAAGTGAGTCAGACGAGCACAAGTGAGTCAGACGAGCACAAGTGAGTCAGACGAGCACAAGTGAGTCAGACGAGCACAAGTGAGTCAGATGAGCACAAGCGAGTCAGACGAGCACAAGTGAGTCAGACGAGCACTAGTGAGTCAGACGAGCACAAGTGAGTCAGACGAGCACAAGTGAGTCAGACGAGCAAAAGTGAGTCAGACGAGCACAAGTGAGTCAGACGAGCACGAGTGAGTGTGTTAGCATTGGTAAGTGCGTGTGTTTTAAATATTTGTTTTAGTCCTGTGAGTGAGTCGGTCGATCTGCGAAGCTTCGTAAGGGCAAAATTGACAACACTTTTCACATGCTGTCAGACGAGCATAAGAATGCCGGTCAGCTTAATTAAGTCTTTTAGTCCTCTGCATATGCCGTCCAACGAGCCTTTAGTTGCAGCTTTTAGTCCTGTCCAACGATTCTAACCCCTGCTTCCCCCCTGCTCGTGGCTGGCGGGTCGGGGCGTGGTGATTGACTATGTGGAGCCGCACTCACAGCCTCACTTGCTCCCTCATCAGGCATGGCCTCTCGGGCACGGGGCACAGCAGCCACAGGCCCTGCGGTAACCATCTTGCCACTCCTGGGAGTGGCTGGCTGGCTGGCGGCTCAGTGTGTGGTGATTGACGATGCGGAGCCGCACTCACAGCCTCACTTGCTCCCTCACACCCTCGCATGGCCTCTCGGGCACGGGGCACAGCAGCCGCAAGCCCTGCGCCAGTAGTTCAGCTGTTGTAGTTTGATGCCAATTGGAAGGAATGTCGCTGGGTGTTTGTGGGACCACGATCCCCACTGGACGATCCTGAATACTAAATAGTGAGGCATTTTTTCCCCCACAGCCACCTCAGGCCTTAACGGTCTGAATAATAACGAACTGTACCCAACGTGGACTCGAAACATAAAGACATACAGTACCGTATCTTACTACTGTTGCTATATCATCTCCACTAGCTGTCATGTGGTCCACAACACAAAGGAGGCGCGACAGGGTTTAGTGAAGACAACATGACAAGGAGCACAGGGGTTGGCTGTCACCCTTGCTGATTCTTGGCCTGCCGTATCTGGCTTCTGAAAAAAGGATATACTACCGTACAATTTCCGTGCAATTGCTCCAGAACATATCGAAAGACTTCCAGGAGGAGACTAGCCCTCTCTTGCTGAACAGAAGCAACATCCGTAGCCATGAGTGCAGTGAGAAGGGCAGATGCATTGTGGTGAGTGGTATGCAGGGCGACAGCTGGCGGCACGTAATTGGGGTAGACGACGAGCAGGCCTGCGGTCATCTCAAGGGCCAGATTGGGGAAGAGGAGTGAGAGGGAGAGGTGGAAGAGGGCGAAGAGGGCTGCAGACAGCATGGCAGCGTCGATCCTGAAGGAGAGTGAAGCAGGAAAGGGGATAGCGCAGGAAGGTGAATTAGTTAAACAAGACTTGGCCTGCTGTCTTGAGTTGACTAGCACAAATCGACCTGACTTACATTGATTTCAGTTCTGGGTACCACGACAGGCAAGGGAGAAGTGGAATTGAATTGCTGGGAAAGTGTGTGTGCTTGGGGAGGCGTGAAAATTACCAGAAAAAAAGGCCGCAGCTGTCGGCGCAGCCTTGCCCAACTTCTACTTCCGAGCCTCTCACTAGCCTGCCTCTCACCTGCCAAGCTCCTCTTGCAGGGCCGTGAGCAGCAGCCCTCTGAACAGCAGCTCCTCTGCTACAGCCGGCGCCACCGCCACTCACAGGAACAGCTGTAGCAGGTCCAGCAGGGGGAGGGCTGTGGCAGCGTAGCAGAGGCAGCCGTAGCAGAGGCAGCCGTAGCAGCCACACCCCTTCCTGTCCCATATGGCAGCAACAGAGGACCCAACAACAATGCTGTAGCACTCACACCATTCCCCCCTCCTCCTCCTATTTCTGCTGCTGGTTATGCTATTCCCCATGCCGCCTCCCCTCCCGCACCTGTTTTAAGAGAGATTAAAGAGAAGAGCAGAGCCCATAGAACAGGTCCCCCACCGTCCCTGCCACAATCACCTTCCATCAGCTATCTTTTCCCCCTGCTAACACTCCCCTCTCCCCGTCCCCATCCCCCCTATCAGTTGTTGATGCAATGGCGATTTTTAAAGAGAGGGGTTGATGTGGAGAGACAAACACAGGAATCAGGCATTGGCACACACCCTCACACTCAAACATGGGCTCTGAGGCCCGCAGCACACTGGAAGCCGAAGAACCCTATTAGCAGCAGCTTTACAGTTTGACCCCAAACTTCTCCTCGAACTGCTCATCTGTACATAGGAGAAACTGCTGCAAGCACACCATTTTCTTTGACCCCTCCAAATCCAGAAGCTGCCGCTCCGTACCAACTCTCTCCCCTGGTTCACCATTGCCCCCGACAACCCCAAACAACTGCCCAATCTTCCCTTCTTCCGCTCCCCATTCAATCCTCTCTACCCCCTCCACTTCGTCAGACACAGAACCTAGCTTCCTCCTCTCTTTCCCAGCTGCAATTGAAACACCCCTCTTGCCTCCACTCGTCCGAATAGCCATTTCGTGTGTCACAACCTCATGGCCCATTCGCACCAGTGCTACATGCCGCGGTCTGATTCGCTGATCCAAACTGTACCCAAGAAAGATAGGAAAGGCAACCACCTCCATCACAGGGAGCCCCATGTCCCGTTTTAAGTACTCCACCTTGGGCTTCAGATTCGTTTTCCATCTGCAGTGGATAGATGATGGGTACCTCACAACCAAATCCACCACCAACTGACGAGCCCTGCATCTCTCAACACTTCGTGTTGCTGAGAGAAGTGCACGAGAGTTATTTTGCATACCTCCATCACCTTCCCCCAACCTTTGCATACCACTTCCCTCTTCTCCACTGCTCTCCAATGCCTCTTCCACTTCGCGCACAAGCTCTCCGAAACTTTCCCTCATGCCATCTACACTTGAAGCTATTACCGGAGGAAATCGTGCCATCGCCCGCACAGCATTCTCGCGCCCAAGTAAATCAGCCAATACCGCCACCTTGCCTTGCACGTTCTCCTTCGATAGATGCAGAACCGTCGGGTGACTCCTCGCCATTCTCCCTGCTGCTTCCTCCCCCAGCAGCTCCACAAAGAACTGGAGCTTAGCTAAGAGATTTTCTTTGCTGAGACCAAGGATGCTGGGGGCATGACGGAGCACAGAGCTCGCAATGGAGGGGGTGCCTGGGGGAGTGAAGGACTGGAGAATAGCGATATTCTCTGCAATGCGATACGGAGGAGTTGAGAAAATGACTGGCCAGCACAGGATAAGCCTACTTAGGTGGTTCTTGTCCAGATTCGGCTCATCTAGTCGCTGCCTCAGGGGGCTTGCGCTGGTGCCATCTGCTTCTACATTCCCTCCACATTTCGCCTTAAAATGTGCTGACAGCATCTCAAGGTGAGTATTCACTGCCTCTTTTCTCCGAGTCAAGATGGCTGGATACCCCTCGATAACCGCACCCAGCTTGTCCACAGGAACCCCTGCTCTCTCCACCAGAATGTCCAGGTTCGTTGAACGTGCCTCCCACCAGAGTACGCCCCGTCCGTACACGAGCACAGAGCCCAATCTGCTACGGCGAACGCCTTGAGCCAAAAGAAACTCAAGATTGTTCCGAATCCGTGCAAGGGAGACTCGAAGCCAGGCTGGTTCCCTCACAGTGATGTGCGCGATATCGGCATCAGATATGCCATATGACCGGAGGAGACGGACACGTGGCAGGAAGTCACTGGTGGGATTGGAGCGGAGGAGTTGGGGCTTATATACGAGGACGGAAGCGACAGTGGAAGGGGAGGAAATACCGAGGTGGGAGGAGAAGAAGCGGTAGAGGGAGAGGAGGGAGGAGGGAGATACGACCCGTCGGCCGTTGAGTAGAGGAGGGGGCGTCGGAGGAGATGTAGCGCCGGGCGCATCCTCTTCACACGATCCTGCTTCTTCGTCTTCTTCCTCCCAATATCCTTCTACACCCCCCTCCTCCTCTTCCTCCTCCTCCTCATTTCCTCCATCTGCCTCTTCCGCCTCTTTCACTGTTCCCACGACCAATCTGTCCCCACTGCTTCTTATTCCACTCTCCCAATCCTCCACCTCTCTCACAATCTGAGGCCCGAATCTCTTCCTCAGCACTCCAGCAATCACTGCCACTGCCTCCTCCTCCTCCTCCTCCTCCTCCTCCTTGCAGCCTTTCCTCCCATAGCTCTTCCGCTTGTCTCCCTCACGCTTCCCCGCGGCATTCCCGGCTATTACCCTCTCAACCCTCTCATCAACAACTCCCTTTTCTCCCCCTTCCACTTTCCTGATGCGCCTCTGCCCTCCTCGCCGATCCCCCCTCTCCTCGTCCTTCACTGTGCACGTTTTCAACTCCGCTTGCACCGCTACTCGAGGGTTGATCCCAGAAACAGCAGTCTCCGCCTCGGAAGCTTCTGCGCCTGCTGGCCTGGAAGACGCAGCAGTGGCAGACCATGCCGAGAAGCCTCGGTCGTGGGATGAAAACGTCTTGTGGGACGCCTCGAAGCTTCGGCCAGGGCTTCGGATCTGATATAACGCGTTTCGCGCAGGATCGTTTGGATTCGATTTGATCCGATCGATGCATGGCGAGAGAGGAACAGAACTTCGCGATGCGATTCGGTGCGTTTGGGACGTCTCACTAGTATTATATCTGAAAATCCGTTCGACAGATGGCCGTGACGTATGAGGAAGGACCAGCCATAGGGACCGGCGAGCTGATCTCCGCGAGGCGGCGTAGAAGTTCATGAATTCGTTAATTTCGTTGCATTCGTCGAATTCGTCGAATCCGTCCAATCCTCCAGAACGTGTATGCCTAAATCCTTCGTGTAATCTTCGTGTGACCTTAGCTGGCTAGGGACGCGAAACGTGAAGGCGAATTCGCCTGTACGGATAAGATAATCGCAATCTCGAAACGTTCAGATAACACCTATCTCAGTGGATAACACTATCTTCGTGTGACCTTAGCTAGCTTCTGGCCCAGTCCGTGATCTGCGTAGTGCTCTTGTTCAGTGTCGAAGTGCTGGGTTCCTCAGGACTAGCGATCAGGCAAATGAGATGATCACAAAGCTCAGGAGGAGCCTCGTCAGGTGCTCCACGTTTTGGAACGCTTGAATACGTTTACAGCGTGGTTGAGTTGGGTGCTAAGCAAAATTCTGCTGTCTGTCCTGATGCGAATCAATTTTCTGTAGGGGCTTCAGGATTGACCGAACGAAACGAGCTGCTGATGCTGCTTTCGCTAGCAACTGTAACTGTGGTTGGTTCGCATCTCTACATCGCGAGATACATGCGATGCAATTTTGTTCATCCGGCCTAGAAGCATGATTCGCATTGTCGCAACGAGGTGTAGCGTGCGACCTTGATCCCCAGATATACTATCAGATTTTGAGGAACATTTTCCCAACAGCCACCTCAAGCCTTGCTGTGTTTGTATGGTGTTTTACTCACGCAAAAAGAACTGCCGTAAGTTTACACAAGGTGAGCTCAATTTAAAAAAAACGCTTCAAACTCAGTTTCTTTGTATCTACGCATACACTGTGTGATGTGACGCCATCTCTAACATACTGTAAGGAAAATCGATTTTCCTTACTCCGCACCCCTGCTCAACGCGTACATCACTGTAG